GTTCCTAGGTAACGGAAAAGGAGAAATCGATTTCTCGCGTAACTTTATGGTTGGTGTAATACAAACTGGATGATAGTAAGCGTTGCCACTGACAGCTGTCAGACGTATAAAATGCCTTCGACTGTTGCATTCGATACATCACGTATATAAGTTTTAAAGTCGCGACCGTTCTCCTTGATAGTATACACACACACACACGTGTGCTCTTTGAAAGTCGTTTCTCGTAATAGCGTAATGTATCGATCGCCTCTTTGTACTTCTATTATCCGGATTACACGATAATATTTGAACACGCGTATCCACATGTTAATATCTTAAGTTAGATTGAGCGGAAAGGAAGGTCGTATCTCATACACCTGTTACACCGTTGAACGGATCCCGTCCACCCGTAGATATGCATATGCATGTCCGCAACTCGCAACAATATAATCGCGAACGATACCTCGCACGTTCAGCACTCCAAGCAAGAGAGAATCGCGAATTTTTTCGTGCCCTTTTCACGAATAATTTTCAAAACAATTTTAATGAGACGAGTAAAAGAGTTTCGCGCAATTTCGACGCTTTCATTGAAGGAAAGATAGCGTTGCGTTGCAGGACCGCGGTTTATCCCCCTTTCCACCGACAATATTGAGGTTTGTACCGTCCACGGTTCAAGGGTGATGCTTAAAGGCTGATGTCCTATCGCTATCCTGGTATCTCGGCGAGACTAACTGGCAGAAAGGGTCGTGGCAGCGTCAATGTGATGCGGTTGTGCACGTGTGTTGGTCGCATAGATGTGTGCACGGTGTCACGCGCGTGAGTGTGTACGTACACCATCTTTACCAGAGAACCAGCTACAGAGGGATAACACCACTTTATGTCCTTGGGAGGTCGTAAAGATACCTCGGCAGACATGCTTTCGCCGTTTTCTCCCTCTTTCTTTCTCGTCGAGGCTAACGGACGGAGGAATCCATCCGTTCGTATATACGCGCAGAAAACGTGCGGAACACAAAATCAGACGCAACGAAATTGCCTCCCCCCTTCCTCCCCATCGACCCGTCTGTTTCTTCGCGCGTATAGAAGGAAGATCGATCGATTCGTTCATTAGCCAAGCCAGAAACGCGATAAATAAAGAGGAGGGAAGCGAACGGTGGTGTATTAACTTTCGAAACGAAATCTAGCGTCTCGAAATCGAATTTAAAAGTAAGCCATCGT